AACCTGGGAGGCGGAGCTTGCAGTGAGGTGAGATTGCACCACTGCATTCCAGCCTGGGCAACAGAGCAAGACTCTGTCTCAAAATATATATATATATATTATTTTCATTGAAATTTTAATGGCTTATGAAATTATTTCTAATATAATGTGAAAATACAGGAAAAAAAACTATAATTGCACTGATCGCAATAACACTGACGCCTCAGAGGCAGTTTTCTGTTGACTCCTTATTTTCCTGAGTATGGGTCACACTTTGCTGTTTCTTTGTACATCCTGTTTCTTTTAGATAATATGTTGTAGCAGCTCTGGACCCTTCATTCACCCACTCCCAATCCAGGTGTGGTGGGGTTTGCTATTTTTAGATTTGTTGTTTGTTTAGTGATCTGCCTGGACTAATTCTGTGGCTTCTATTCCCTACTCACTCTCCCCACTCCTCAGTGTACAGCCACTGATGTCTCTGCTGTTTTTGAAATTCTTGTTTTTAAGACTCGATTCCGAGGGATCACTTCTCAGTTGGCATAGGTCAGCCAATGATTGGTCAGAAGTTGTGTTTAAACACCTTGAGCCAGTAAAGCTCTCACCTTCTGCTGATGAATGCGTGTGACCTGGGGAATGCATTCAAGTCAGAGCAGTTTCCAAGTCTATTTATTCCAGTTTTGATTTTGTTTGCAAGGTTTCACACGCAGGCAGGGACAAGTAGCTTGCTAGGGCCTAGGTCTCTTCTTGGGTGCACACAGCCCTGCACATGAGCATAGCCTTCTGGACCACTAGGGATAAGCAGGATCTTATCAAGCTTATTTTGCTGTCACATTCCCAAGACCTCCCTGTTAAACTGCTCGCTGCTGTCTGCCTCTCTATTGTTAACCCAAATCACTATTTGAGACCTCAGGCTAGCTGCAATGTTGGCCACACTGAGATACGGGATTCTCCACACTCGACTCCAAATAAAGTCAGCCCCCTCCCGCAGCCCTAGAACTTCTGTGATAGAGCCTGGGGAGAAGGGAGTTGGGATGGGAGCAGCCCCAGGTTAAAACATCACAGACTCCCGCTGTTCTTATAGGGGGCTTCAGTAGCTTTTCTTGAATAAACACTCCTCAATTTGCTGTATGCCTTTGGTCAACTTCCAGTCCAGTCTTAAAATTTTTTTTTTGACAAGTTTGTTCAGTTTTGTCATTGCTTTTTAGGGAGAGGATTCGCTGAGCTCCTTACTTGGCCTTATTGGAAGCACTGCTCCTCAAACCATACGGTTTGTAAAAATTTATACTGGCCGGGTGCAGTGGCTCATGCCTGTCATCTCAGCACTCTGGGAGGCTGAGGTGGGAGAATCACTTGAGGTCAGGAGTTCAAGACCAGCCTGGCCAACATGGTGAAATCCTCTTTTTAGAGACGGGATCTCACTGTTACCTGAGCTGGAGTGCAGTGGCGTGATCATAGCTTACTGCAGCCTCAAACTATCCTGCCTCAGCCTCCCAAGTACCTGGGTTGTTTTCTTTCAGTTATTCCTTAGCAAGGCTTTTTCAAGAGCATTCAGGGATCACACATATTCCATGAAAAAGAGCTCAGCTCTTGGACTGGTTTACAAATAGTCAAATGTTTGGTTTATACTGAGCTAAACAAAATCAAAATGAGTTAACAGCAGGACTTCTGGGAGCCTTTAATATGCTAATGTTGGTTAAGATTCTCCAAGAAGAGAAGCATAGTGTTTCCCAAGATTACTGTGACCACTGAACACTTCTTCCCCCAACAGAGCATTTCATGGGATTAATGTTCTGCAAAAACACCCTTTGGTCTGTCTTGATATTTTCAGCCTAGATCACAAACAGTGAGCTGTTCAGGGAAGAAGTATTTGTTGACAGCTGTGAGAGCTGTATGCATTACCCTTCTAGACAAAGGAGCGGTGGTAGTGGAAATGGAGGGAAATTCCTCGGGGAGGTCAACTTTGGCAGACAATCAAGCTCTCTAATACAGGTACCCCCTCACCCGGAACTTTTCATTGGCAACATTCCAAGTTTCTGGGTTCTGTTTTTAAGGAGGACTTACCGTGAGGACTTACCGTGTACCAGACATTAAGTCAGACTCTTGGAAAATAACACAGTATTCGCTCTCAAGGAGTACGGTTAAGGGTGGGATGGAGAAGACAGTGGCCGGATCTCAGCTCACTGCAAGCTCTGCCTCCCAGGTTTACGCCATTCTCCTGCCTCAGCCTCCCGAGTAGCTGGGACTACAGGCGCCCGCCACCTCGCCCGGCTAGATTTTTGTATTTTTTTTTTTTTAGTAGAGACGGGGTTTCACGGTGTTAGCCAGGATGGTCTCGATCTCCTGACCTCGTGATCCGCCCGTCTCGGCCTCCCAAAGTGCTGGGATTACAGGCTTGAGCCACCGCGCCCGGCGGAGAAGACAGTTCTAATCACGTGTTAGGGGAGATGGGGTCTAGGTATCCCCAAGTGTTATGGTAAGACCAAGGGGACGTTAACCTGGCCCAAGGGGTTAAAAAAAACCCCAAAACCTGACAGAGGGCATGATACCCAGGCTGGTTCTTGAAGGCCAAGAAAGGGTTAGGCAGGAATGGAAGAGGGGAAGCATGTGTGCAAAGACAGAGAGGCTTAAGAAAACACGGTCCTGTAATCCCAGCACTTTGGGAGGCCGAGACGGGCGGATCACGAGGTCAGGAAATCGAGACCATCCTGGCTGACACGGTGAAACCCCGTCTCTACTAAAAAATACAAAAAACTAGCCGGGCGAGGTGGCGGGCGCCTGTAGTCCCAGCTACTCGGGAGGCTGAGGCAGGAGAATGGCGTGAACCAGGGAGGCGGAGCTTGCAGTGAGCTGAGATCCGGCCACTGCACTCCAGCCGGGCGGCAGAGCGAGACTCTGTCTCAAAAAAAAAAAAAAAAAGAAAACACGGTCTATTCAGGAACTACAATTAGTTTGCATAGCTAGAGGACAGAATGTAAAACAAACTGAACAGGTACAAAGAGAGCAACGCACAAAGGGCCGTGTGTGGCACGCACGCTAGGGAATTTGGATCTTAGTCTCAGGGTGAAGGGAGATCAGTAAAAGGTTCCCGAGGTGGGTGGATCGCTTGAGGTCAGGAGTTTGAGACCAGCCTGGCCAACATGGTGAAACCCCGTCTCTACTAAAAACACAAAAACTAGCCGGGAGTGTCATCCCAGCTACTTGGGAGGCTGAGGCAGGACAATCGCTTGAACCTGGGAGGTGGAGGTTTCAGTGAGCTGAGATTGCACCACTGCACTCCAGCCTGGGGGACAGAGTGAGACTCTGTCTCAAAAAAAAAAAAAAAAAAAAAAAGTGGATGATGGAGGTAGATGATCAGAAAGCTCCAGAAGGCCAGCAAGATGGACAAGGGTCTGAACTAGGACAGTATGAATGGAGAGGAGAGGGCAGTTGAGAATTTAAAGTGCTAGAACTGGATGAACTAAGATGTTGGGGTTAAGTGGGAGAGGCATTCCAAGGTTATACATGAACAATCATAGGCAATGGTAAAGCCAGATAATACAGAGAAGATAAAGGGCATGTTTTGGGGGAGGAGATAATGTATTCAGATTTGCACCTGTTCAGTTTGAAATTCCAATACAACACGTGAGAGATGTTCAGGAGATGGCTGGAACTCTGCGTTGAGAAATACAGGTATGATGGGTATCAGAATAAAAGTTGTAGGCTGGGTGCAGTGGCTCACACCTGTAATCCCAACACGTTGGGAGACCAAACGGGTGGATCATGTGAGGTCAGGAGTTCGAGACCGGCCTGTCCAACATGGTGAAACCCCGTCTCTACTAAAAATACAAAATTAGCTGGGCATGGTGGCGCATGCCTGTAATCCCAGTTACTTGGGACACCGAAGCAGGAGAATCACTTGAACCCAGGAGATGGAGGTTGCAGTGAGCCGAGATTGCACCACTGCACTCCAGCCTGGGTGACAGAGCAAGGCTCTGTCTCAAAAAAACAAAAGAGTAACAGTTGTAGATGAAGCCACAGGTATAGGTATGGATGAGATAGATAGTACAGAGTGTGTAGACTGAAAAGCAGGCAGAGACAAAAACCCCAGGGCACTGTAATCTCTCATCTGAATACCTATACCATTTGTCTGTTACATATGGAATTTGTCATATGCTGCAATAAACATTTAGCTCAGTGCCTACTGTGTACAAATGCTAGATATGAGGGTACAAAGAATGAAAAATCCTTTCACCCAAGGAGACTATGATCTAGTCGTGGAGAAAGAATCATGCCCAATTATTATGCAAAATGAAGTTAAATAGAAACTGTAAGTGTGTTGAGTGTAGAAGAGGCAATTAATTCAACAGAAGAGCTAACGCCGCTTTCAGGAGAGGGAAACATTTGAGTTGGACTTTGCAAAAATAAGTGGATTTTAACAAGCAGGGCAGGGGAAAGAAAGGCAAGTAATTTTAGGCTGGAAAGGAACACACGTAAAGATCACAACAGAATGGAGTGTAGGAAGTGGTGGAGAGAAAGAGGCTGGAAAGGTTGCCTGAGGCCAGGATCTAGGTGCTTGGGAATCCTGTTGCGGTTTCTTAGGTGTCTGTTTGAAAGATGGCACACATGTGCCGATGTATACCCAAGGCCTCCACCAAGTTCTGAATTTCAGAAATGCCTGGAAGACCAATGAATCAAAAATGCTAAAGGAAATCTAAAAATCACCAAACTAAGGCTTGAGGCTTGTAAACGCTTTTTCTCAGTTCTATATTTTCCTTTTGCAAGACTGCAAAACTCTGTTAGAACTTTAATTACTTGGCTTCATTATAAAATTTCCATTGCATATAAGAGTATAAATAATTTCACTCTAATGCTCTCATTTGAATCTGCGGCTGAAAGCATTGGCAGAAATCACATTTTCATGGCACTTCCTTGGCATGTTGAAGGAAAACAAAATGTATTCTGCTAATCAAGTCATTAGTGACTTTGAAAGTGATGGATTATATAAAAAAAAAAAAAAAAGCAAATAATCAGAGATAAAGAGGTATATTTTAAAGATTAAAAATATTTTATTTAAACTTTTCTTCATAAACACTTTTAACATTTTTTTTCAATTTAAAAACAGAATGGATAGCATAAACATGTTTGAATAGATTATATCCACGGCTTGGGAAAAATTACCTGACAAAAATGTAAAGGCTTTCAAAACAGGTATAAAAGGCAAACCTTAAATTATTCTAAGATTTTTATATCGGCCCTAGGATTATTTGACTACTGGCCCAAAATGTACCTAAAGGTCAAAATATTTTTCTATAGACAAAGTATGCCCAAGAGGTACAGGGCATATACAAGTTAGGTAGAAAATAACCTCTCCCAATCACCTCACTGGACCATTCCTTCAGAAAGCAAACACCTAATCCTTACTATATACTGATTAATAACATTTTAAATGTAGTTGTTCCCAAAATGTAAAAAGAAAACCTAAGAATTTAAGGGAGAACAAAGCTGATGGCATTCTCCTCAATGTTACTTGTGTAATATTGAAGTTATATGGTGTACTGAAAGGATATGATTTCCATGAATTTATCTATTCCAGTCTATGCCTAGTGAATATTTGACTTTATAAACTCTGGATAAACTAATTTTTAGGACTTCCATTTTTAAGATAAATCTCTTTTTAGAAGATATTTATTCCCAAACCAACTCTAAATGTAATTGAACAAACATATGATCTCTCAAAATGTTCAGAATACAAAACAAAAATCAAAAATGTTTAACAGGCAAACAAGAAAACTGGCACTAGCAGTTTTACTGCCATATAGCCCTCAATTATATCTGATTTACACTATTATCTATGTTGTATTTTACTTCAGTCTAAAACTTTAAATTATGAATTCTCAAAAGAGCTAGTCTCCTTTGAGAGATAGCTTATAAACTGAAATAACAATTTATATTATAAACTGAAATGTTATGACCTACACCCACATATACATATATAAAAATAGTCCCACTGAACGTTTGACATGTTTAGATTATGCAGCTCAAATAATCTGTTATAAAATATTTTAAAGCTTAGTTTCATGTAATTAAGACAAAACTCCATTTTTACCACTTCTCCCCACATAAAGCGTGTGTCCTTTACTATGACTCGAGCAGGCTTCCCAGAATGAGGTGTCCAAAGGTGCTGCTTTAGAAAAGATAAGTGAAGGGCTCAGTCAGTATTCCACAAATTCTAGTAACACTCACACAGAGCAGAGTAATGAGGACACAGAAAGCTGTCTCAAGAAAAGCTAGTAATTCTATTAGTTAAGCTTTGCTTTTTAAAAACCAGTAGCATTTCTTCCAACACAAAACCTTCAATGTGAGAATCTTGCATTTTAAGAAAAGGTTGTAGTGCAAGGAATTTCTTTAAAATCAAAACTTAGAAGGTCAAAGACACGGAAGAGAACAAATAGTTCTAATTAAGATGTAATTAATGAAGATCAGCTATTTTTGTGAACTCTGGCATTTAAGATACAAAGTGAAAACACCACGCATAAAGGTCATAACAGTTAAACTGTACAGATTCAAATCTTACTGAATTTTTCGAAAAACTACTTTTTTGAGCGCAAAGTATATAAACAAAAATTCCAGATGAAGCACACAAAAAATAAACTTGAAAAAAATGCTATGAAAAACTTTTCCATAGTTTAGTATAACAAAAATAAATCTCTTGCAGCAATTAAACCATAATTTTAAAAGGGAATGTAAGTTAATCACGGATTTAAAATAACCTAAATTAGAACTACATATAAACAGGGAGTTTTCTCATACATTCAGAACCCAAGCAACAGCAACTATTCTTAAAGCTCAAAACTGATTACAGCTAACATCAGGTCCGACGTGACTTACGTGAAGCTGAACCCAGAGTTAGTTCAAGTTAAGATTTTACGAATTTTACAAAACATGAACTTTGATCTTGGCCTCTGTCTTTAAAATTGAAGACCAAGAATACTCAAATGTTCGCCCAAATGTCACCCTAACTAGGGCCATAAAGTCATATCTAAGCAATTAAAGAGAACCACCACTAGAGTGTAAAGCCTTTGATGGGGATACCTGGCCTGATGGCTCTTTCTTGGTCTTTTCTAGCAAAAGACATCAATGAGGAAAATAATGAAGACGTTATTTTCTTTAAAGCAAAACAGCACACATACAAAGCCACTAAACTAATGTAGTAGAAAAAAAAATTAAATGGTTAACTTATTCCTAGCTTTCAAAAATAAAATAATAGTTTTTTTTTAAATGTAGAAAAAGACTTTTTACCCATATTACCATGGGAAACAAGATACCAAATTTCATGTTTGGAAACTCTAAGTAAATGATAGGACTAGTTAATGGAAATTTAAGTTTCATATACAAAATTAGATTATTATTGATTTCTGAAATCAATGCCAATGGTTTTTTCAAAAGCTACTTGTGTACCTGACTTTCTTAAACCCAAATGCCTCCAATTTTGGAGTTTGAAGATCAGGTTTAATCTCATAGTATGCCTAATAACTGCCCAAAAAACCCCCAAAAACCAAAGTCTTCACATTTCCACGACTTCACACTTCCATTTTATGTTCAATGGTGGCAGCAGCAAACAAACAAACAAACAAACAAACACCAAACGAACAAAGTGAAACTAGAAAATTTATACATCAGCAGCCATATAGAAGGCATTGCAATATTGCACCAATATTCTAAGATCTGGCAAGCTTTGCCAGTATAGATCTAGTCTGTATCAGATATAGACTACTCATGTGAAAATGGCATCAATTTTAATGATCCACTCCCAGGCTATTCTTGCTTAACTTTGTCAACTGTTTTTTCCTCTGCATTTAAAGAGTTGAAAGGTGCAGCTAATCCTAAAACACTTATTATAAATGCTTTTAAACAGCTATTCTTGATCCATTCTGAACTTTGTGGTTACTATCCTTCATGCTAATAGCTTTCAGTAAATAAAACAAAACTGAGGGCTTACATCCCTAGTGTCGCTGGGTATTTTGTACAAAATAAACAAGTAGATAAAACCAGTAACATTGTAATTCTATTTCTTACCTCTAAGTCAAAACTGAGCTCAAATTTTCTAACAGTTTCTACCTTCCATTCAATAACAAATGCAGCAGCCTTACTGAATGTAAAAAATGGGAGTTGCACTTACTTTTAAGGGCCTTGATTTAGGAGTCTGGTATTACCTAAATGCTCTTTAAAAGTGCTTGCATGCTGCAGGGCCAGAACTTGTCATATACCACTCCGATTCTCACTAAAAACAGGGCAACGTTAAACAGACTGCAAAGAAAAACATTTTCAAAAAGAAAAGACATACATCGACAAAGAACACTAACATTTACTTTTGAAAATAAACTATAAAATGTTAGTTTTCATAACCATACATGTTTCAGAAATATAAGGAATTCAAATATTACTGAATCAGTATGGACTGAAGATAGGCTACTTTGATAGCAAATGAGGACTCCAGTTATTTTAACTTTCTAAAAATGTTAATATGTGAAAAGACGTTACATCTAAAATTCAACAAGTATGGCGAACTGTGTGTGCAAGTGCACTAGCTTAAAAATATAGAATCCTAACCACGCATAAAAGGGATGTGCCTTGTGTATTTATAGGTTGTATGCGAGTATGAATATGCTTTCACTAACACAATGCGGATAAGAGAAGGCAGCTTAGAAATAGTGTTTTGAATATAAAAAGTTAATTTTGTAGAAAATTTATATTTTTGCATTTTCAGCAAAAAGCCATGCAAAAAGGTCAAGAGTTTTAAACTTTTAAATAATAAAACCAAAAAGTATAACAGACTGAAATACACTGAAATAAATCTTCAAAAAGGTTTCAGATAGAGACAGGGACTGAAATCACATCCAGTGACACTTATCAGGTCTTCTCTTAGAAGACACATGACTCCTACGCTAACATCTGAAAGAAATGTTTAAAGCAGAAAATCAATTTCCCAGATAAGTGGAGCATTCTATTAAACTGCTTCTGGAAGTAGTTTCAAGAGCTAGCACTTAGAATTAACTTATTGCATGAGTTTGAGGCCACTGAAAAGAAAAGAAAAAAAGGATGCTAGCACAGAATGAAAAATTCTTACGATGTTAGACCAATGGCTTTGATAGTAAAACTGGTGAGGTTTTTCTTTATATGTTTTAATTAACTACTCTGCACAAACAAATACTTTGTTTGCCTCTTTTAGGGAGAAGGATGTCATTAGTTGCAACGCCTGACCTCATCCAGTACATAGTCCGGAAAATGCAGGTTGCATACTTGTAAACCATCCAGCTTGCAGGGCATCCGAGGGTACTCATCTTCCTTCCACTTGTTTTCATCCGGATCAAAAGTGAGAATGGAATCGCTGTAATGACCATTATAACAAAGGCCTCCAAGAACCATTATTTGTTTGTCCAGCACAGTCACACCATGACCACTTCTACCAATCGGCATGGATGCCAAGATGGTCCACTGATCAGTCTCTGGGTTGTATACTTCTGTAGAAGGGCATCCCTGAGATTCGAAAGAGGCCCTCAAGATCACACAGACGCCACCGAAGACATAAAGCTTGCCATTGTAAGAAATCATCTTGTGAAAGCATCTCGCGTAATTCATCTTGCTCTTATTCTCCCAACAGTTGGTAACCACTTGAGTTCTCCTGGTCCGTTGTTCTATGGTCCCTTCTTTGCTGGGGTCAAACACGCACACTTGCTTGGAGGTGGAAGATGAGGTGATTCCACCGGTGATAAACAACTTGTTATTGAGCACTGTCCCCTCATGTCCATATTTGTTAACTGGATATGGATCCACAAATTCCCATTTATCATTGGTGATGTCATATCTCTCAGTTGAATAGAAAGTCTCATCTCTGGTTCTGCCTGCTACGGCGTAAATAAACTTCCCAATAACACCTACAGCAAATTCAGAGCGTGGTACAGACATATCTGCCATCTGCAGCCAGGAGTTTTGTCTCGGGTCATACCTGAATACTTTGGAAGAAGCATGGAATTCACCATCCGGGCCCAGCTCTTCCCCACCTAACAGGAACACAAAATTATTGACGATAGCAAGGCAGTCAGGTCGCAGAGGTACTTGTGGGCCTTCTAGTTCCCACCAGACTCTTGGTTTCTTTAAGAGAAGTATTTTACTGTTAACCATGCTATGTCCAATCATTCCTCGAAATACTGTAGTTTGTGGTTTTGCAGAACGAATGCGGCTTGACTTCATATCCAACAAAGGCTGCTGGTGAACATTCTGAAAGTAATTCAATGCTTGGTCAACTTCGTAACGGAGCTGTCGGGAGTATCTATAAAATTCTGATGTCTTAACCTAAGAACACAAGAAAAAGAATTTAACCAAAGGAAAAAGCATCAGCGACAAAAACAAATTATCAAAGCCGACTAACACGATCATCTTAGGCTCACTTTACTAAAACTGCTTTTCCTGCTAAGATCACCTACTTTCTTTTGTTATCTACAAAGCTTTTTTTGGAGATGGAGTTTCGCTCTGTCACCCAGGCTGGAGTGCACTGGCACGAACTCGGCTCACTGCAACCTCAGCCTCCCGAGGTGCCTGCCACCACGCTCGGCTAATTTTTTTATTTTTAGTAGAGACCAGGTTTCATCATCTTGACCAGGCTGGTCTTGAACTCCTGCCCTCATGATCCACCCGCCTCAGCCTCCCAAAGTGCTGGGATTACAGGCGTGAGCCACCCCATACGGCCTCCTATATTTTCTTAATTTGTAATGATCTATGCACATTCCCAAGCTTTTAAGAGTAAACAAACAATTAGGCACCTATTATGTCAAGCCCTGGGCTACAAGGAAGGAATATGAGGAAAAGTACAGGGCTTCACAGTAGAGGAAACCATATTCACAGTTTTCTTAACCACAAGTAACACCATAAAGCTGTGACTGAATCATTTGGGGAGTTAAGTTAGTGAAAATTTAAATACATGTAAAATTTTGGGGTTTTGACATAAAGACTTGGTCTGATATCGACTTCTAAAAGAATTCAGGCCAGGCACGGTGGCTCATGCCTGTCATCCCAGCATTCTTTGGGAGGCCGAAGCGGGCGGATCACGAGGTCAAGAGATCGAGACCATCCTGGCCAACTTGGTGAAACCCCGTCTCTACTAAAAATACAAAAGTTAGCCAGGCATGGTGATGGGCATCTATAATCCCAGCTACTCAGGAGGCTGAGGCAGGAGAATCGCTGGAACCCGGCGGTGGAGGTTGCAGTGAGCCGAGATTGCACCATTGCACTCCAGCCTGGTGACAGAGCAAGACCCCATCAAAAAAAAAAAAAAAAAAAATTCCGTAGATATTAGGTCAAACTTTTTGTTTAATTTTTAAAATTTTATTTTAAAATTATTATTACTAGATATTTTTAGAGATGGGGTCTTTCTCTGTTGCCCAGGCTGGTCTTGAACTGGCTCAAGTGATCCTCCTGCCTCAGTCTCCTGAGCTGCTGGGATGACAGGTGTGAGCCACTGTGCCTGGCAAACATTTTCCTTTTGGATTCTGGAGCTGGAGCTACCTAATTATGATGACTACCAAGATTTTATAAAGCACTTTTGGCCAGGTGCGGTGGCTCATGCCTGTCATTCGAGCACTTTGGGAGGCTAAGGTGGGAGGATCACTTGAGACCAGCCTGGGCAACAAAGCAAGAACTCATCTCTACAAAAACTAATAAAATAAAATTAAAATAAAGCACTTTTAAGTATTGTGCTAAGTGCTACAGGGAGAAACAAAATTAAGTATAAGATGTGATCCATTTCCTTAAAGAACCTAGAATGTATTTGGGAAAGTGGAAACAAATACAAATTTACCAACAGGTAAATGAGTCAGGTGGCAATTAGGTATGAAGCCAAACAGCACATCTGTGAGTGCGGCAGAATTAGAGATAAAGATTATATTAAACTGGCCCAAGACATTCAAGAGATAATTTGTGGAAGATGTAAGAAGTAGGGGACTCAGCAGAAAAATCCTGTGTCATAAGACGACAAGGATAAGAGGGTCTTAAATTTGGGTAACAGGAATTAGCGTAGAGGTAAAATCTACAGACAACCATGACTGATTTGAAATAGGGTGAAAGAATGAGGACTCAAATGTGATTTGAGCATTTAGACTTGAGGTGATGGAGAGAGTGGTGATATCAATAGGGAAAGCAGGGAAGATGAGCTGGTTTGAGAGAGGTATTCAACTTCCCTGGTAGGATGTTGAGGTGGAAATGTCTAAGAGCCTGTTGGAAATCTGGGACGACAGCTTGGGAGGGAGTCAAAACCAGGTGTATATATTTAAGAGCTTCCTCCCCTTCCTTCTCCTCTCTTTCCTTTCCTCCTTCCTTTCTTTAGCCCATTCATTAATTTATTCACCTTAGTCCAAAACAGTGGTCAAACAAAAAGCACCACAAATTTGTTTTAAGTATTTTGATAACTGTATTCAATATAACTGGTTTCCTTTGTAATATCAGGCATTTTATCATTAAAATCATTATTTTGAGAAGGGGTCCTTTCATGGGCTTCACAAGATCAGCAAAGGGGGTAAACAGCACAAAAAAAGGCTGAGAACCCCTTGTCCAATCACATAAGAGAGAAAACTAACATTGGCCGGGCACAGTGGCTCACACCTGTAATCCCAGCACTTTGGGAGGCCAAGGCGGGCAGATTACTTGAGCTCAGGAGTTCAAGACCAGCCTGGCCAACACGGTGAAATCCCGTCTCTACTAAAAATACAAAATTTAGCTGGCTGTGGTGGCGTGCGCCTGTAACCCCAGCAACTCGGGAGGCTGAGGCAGGAGAATCGCTTGAACCTGGGAGGTGGAGGTTGTAGTGAGTTGAGATTGCACCACTTCACTCCAGCCTGGGCGACAGAGCGAGACTGTCCCAACAGAAAACAAAAACAAAAAACTAACATTGTTACTGTACTGGATGCTTTCATGTACATCTCACATTAAATTATTCCTCCTGTGAGAGTGCAATAACCATCCCCATTTTCCTGATAAGAAAACTGAGGCTTAGAATGTGAAGTGACTTGTCCAAATTGTTTATGTAACTACAACTGGTAGAGTTGTGATCTGAACCTTGAATGAGGACAATTTTACTTCAAAGTTCATGTAATTTCCAGAACGTTACAACACAGCTTCCATTATTCTTTAGAAAAATCTTTACATTATATACTCATTTATTAAAACAACATGTTCAATGAATGAGCCTAATGACCCTTCTCAAATAAAAGACAGTAGAATTGCTCTTAATAAAAAAAAAAAAAAATCAAGTCATATGAATCACAGTGATTGGGCATCCAGCCCAATTCTTCCTAGCAAAAACAGTAACTCTGGAAAAATCATAGCAAATGATGAATACTAGTAAACAAGTAACTTCACTAAAACAAATAATATAATAAAGGAAAAAAGGTGAGAACAACCTAAGATCTTCCATTTTACTACTTTTACTTCACACATAAAAAGTTAAAGTGGGCTGGGCACAGCTCACACCAACATTTTTGCATTCTTTGTTTTTTTATATATCATATTTATAAACAGAAAGAGTTCTTGCCATTCAAAAATGGTTATCCATCAAAACGATTTTAAAAGCCCAGGAGTTTGAGTTGAGGCCAGCCCGGGCAACACTGTAAAACCCTGTCTCTACAAAAAATACAAAAATTAGCTGGGTGTGGTAGAGCAGGCCTGTAGTTCCAGTTATTTGGGAGGGTGAGGTGGGAAGAGCACCTGAGCCCAGGAGGCAGAGGCTGCAGTGATCTGAGATCGTGCCACCATACTCCAGCCTGGGTGACACAGCGGGACTCTGTCTCAAAAAACAAAACAAAACAAAAAACAAAAAACAGTCCAGGCACGGTGGCTCACACCTGTAATCCCAGCACTTTGGGAGGCCAAGGTGGGTAGAACACCTGAGGTCAGGAGTTCAAGACCAGCCTAACATGGTGAAACCCTGTCTCTACTAAAAATACAAAAATTAGCTGGGCATGGTGGCGGGTACCTGTAACTCCAGCTACTCAAGAGGCTGAGGCAGGAGAATCACTTGAACCTGGGAGGCGGAGATTGCAGTGAGCTGAGATTGCACCATTGCACTCCAGCCTGGGTAATAAGAGCAAAACTCCGTCTCAAAAAAAAAAAAAAAAAAAAAAAGCTGGGTGTGGTGGTGCATGCCTGTAATCCCAGCTACTTGGGAGGCTGAAGCAGAAGAATCGCTTGAACCCAGGAGGTGGAGGTTGCAGTAAGCCAAGATCGCGCCATCGCACTGCAGCCTGGGCAACAACAGCGAAACTCTATCTCCAAAAAACAAAAACAAAAACAAAAAAACAGGCTGGGTGCGGTGGCTCATGCCTGTAATCTCAGCACTTTGAGAGGCCGAGGCAGGTGGATCACAAGGTCAGAAGTTCGAGAACAGCCTGGCCAACATGGTGAAACCCTGTCTCTACTAAAAATACAAAAATTAGCCGGGCGTGGTGGCGCCTGCCTGTAATCCCAGCTACCCGGGAGGCTGAGGCAGTACAATTGCTTGAAGCTGGGAGGCGGAGGTTGCAGTGAACTGAGATCATGCCACTGCATTCCAGCCTGGGTGACATAGCAAGACTCCATCTCAAAAAAACAACAAAAACCCGAAAACAAACAAACAAAAAACAAAACTGAGCATTTTCCATTCATTTCTTCTATAAATTGACTAATAGTGTGCCTTGCCCATTTTTCTCATCTTTTTCTTATTGAGTTGTAGAAGCTGAAAACGAAATACTCTGAAAATCAGCAAGAATCATAAACCTCAAATTAAATATTTAAGTGCCTACTGTGCACAGCCAGTGGTCTGAGAGCTACACAGGTTTTCAAGTAATAGAATCCTGTCCAGCATGGTAATTAAGCACCATGTCTGGTGATTAAGGATCCAATTTAGGAAATTTCTGACTTTGGCACTCATGAGCTGTGGCAATCTTGGGCACAGAGCTCAATATCTTTAAGCCTATATCCTCAACTGTATTATTGGGATAACACATTCATAACCCTGTAAGTGAGAGTACGTGAAAAGGATTTAGTATGGTGCCTGTCATGTGGCAGTGTGCAAAAAGTTATCAGCTATTATTAGCTATTACTAATGACCAGGGGACATTTGTGAAAGTGTCAGCTTAAATCAGTGCTTCTCATGACATGCGTTTGTCTATGTAAAAATTTAGTCTTTCAGAAGATTGAGGAGAAATGAAAGAAACAGTTACTTTGGACCTATCCTCACTGGTGAAACATGACTGGTAATGTACAAATGGGAGAAAGCTTTACAGAAAGAAGCCATGTTGTTTGGAGATCAAGAAACAAAGGAAGGA